TGGCCCGTGATATAGCTTGCTCCATCCTCTATCTCCATTTCCTTATTTATACCCCTATTTTAGTAGAGCACATTCCCCTATTAACTTTCTAAAAATATGAGAAACTTTTTGATTCCTTGCATGTGAAAAAAAAATTGATTCTACCCTCATATTTGTTTTATAGTTAGGTAGAGAAAGGATTATAAGTATTTAAAATGGAAATTTTTCCTCAGAATTCTGGAAACATTCCTGTATTGTCTTTGGCACTCCATGCTTCTGTGAAGGAGTCCAATTCTGAATTTTGACTCTTCGCGTGTTGTTTCCACCCCCTTTTGGAAGCTTTTTCTCTACAGTGTTTTGAAATATTATAATTCTAGGCCTTAACGTAGTTCTTTTTCATCCTTTTTGTTGAGTACTGAGTAGATCCTTCTATTTTTTTGTAAATTGACAAATTATAGTTGCATATGTTTATAGGATACAAAGTGATGTTATGATTTGTGAATACAATGTGGCATAATTAAATCAAGCTAATTAATGTACATCCATTTTTTTGTGGTGGGAACATTTGAAATTTACTATCTTAGCAATTTTGAAGTGTACAACACATTATTATTAACTATAATCACTACATTATATAATAGATCTCCAAAAAAACTCTTATTCCCCCTGTCTGAGGCTTTGTACCCTTTGACCATCATCTCCCCATCTCCCCACCCAGCCTCAGGAAATCACCATTCTACCATTCTACTCTCTGCTTCTATGAATTTGATGGCTTTAGATTCCAGAGGATATGCAACATTTGTCTTTCTGGATCTGATGCTTATTTCACTTAGCGTAACTTAGCATAATATTCTCCAATTCCATCCATGTCACAAATGACAGAATTTGTTTTTTAAGGCTGAATAATATTTCTTTTTTTTTTTTTTTTTTTTGCAGTTGCAAGATTTACTAGAGTGAAAACAGAGCTCCCATACAATGGGAGGGGACCCAAAGGGGCTGCCGCTCCCTGCTCAAATGCCTGGGTTTATATCCCGATCACTGTCCCTCCCCCTGTGCTCTCAGGCGATATATGATTTGACTGTTTCTTTACCTCCTGCTTTAGCCTAATTTGTATTTTAGTGAGCCCTCTTTACTAACTGGTTGGGTGTGAGCTGAGTTTCAAGCCCCGTGTTTAAAGGTAGGTGTGCTCACCTTTCCCAGCTAGGCTTAGGAATTCTTAGTCAGCCTGGGAAATCCAGCTAGTCCTATCTCTCAGTCCCCGCTCTCAACAGGAAAACCCAAGTGCTGTTGGGGAGACGACCGCTCTAACTGCTTCCTGCTGAATTGGGGCGTAGTAGGGGTCGCGCAGTTGAGATTTCCTCTGGAGGGGTGCCTTCGATGTCATCAACAATGGAGCATGGGCTAGCAGGTCGGTCCAGGGGTCCATGGTAGATAGATCTTAGTCATGGACTGCATCTGGGGCTCCATTTGAAGAACCATTTGTAGTTTTACAGCTTCGACTCTGGAAGAGACAAACTTAACAAGGAGGTTAAAGATACAGGGATTGAAATGTATGGCCTGAAGTGCAGGGGCATATGGGTGTGGGCGGTGAAAGTGGGGTTTCCTTTAGAAAAACTCCTATACATTGGGGCATCCATATTTCCGGGAAGCTGCATTCTCCACAGAAGCTTTTGGTAAGGGGAGCTACTGGTAGTACAGCGGCATGGAGGAGGTGCAGTGAGAATGAAAGGGAGTAAGAGAACAGTAAAAAAAAAATATGGCAAGGGGGGGCCATGGGGATTGGGGAGCTACCATTCTAGTTACTTTCCTCACGGTTGTTGCTTAAAGAGCAGGTGCAGATCCTCTAGAGGTTCACAGGAATAGCTAGTGTTGTCTCCTGGATTTTCAGGTTCTTTGGCAGTATCCATGGTTTGACTCGAGTGTGATGTATCCAAGACTCCACTCCAGCCACTTTAACCGCGGCTGGGGTAGATAAAATGACTGGGTAGGGTCCTTCCCAGGATGTGTCTAAGGATGGGGAATTAGAGGGAAGGCACTTGACTAATCCCATGTCTCCAGGGTGGAATAATTCCTTTCCCTCTTCTGAATATCTTATTTAAAACTTTGTCATTTTCTTTACCTGCATTGTTTCTGTTGCCTCTGATTTTTTATGTTTCTTTTTATGACTCATTCTTCACGTGTCTATAGTATGGCACTAAAACACTCCATAGAAGCTGTATCCGTGCGCAGAGCCTCTGACTGATAAATTTCACTACAGGTTAAACCAGCAGAGCCACGTGTGAGAAAGTCCCAACTGTCATTGTCTTTTGGACAGGTCATTTTCATGAAAGTGGAGTCCTTCAGTATCCTGCCTAGGAGCTGTGAGCCTGGCTGTAGTATTCACAAAACCAATGGAGAAAAGGCATGAGGGGAAGGAAAATCTTAGATGTTCAGTGAGTCCAACTTGCAGCCCCACCTGTGTCTTCACCTGAAGACATCATTTGGGCCTTCAGTGCCTGAGCCTCTGGGGTGCTCTGTGGCACCCTTCTCCCTCCGCTCTTGTCCATGTTCCTTACAACTTCCAAGGTTTTTTTTTTGTTGTTATTATTATCATCTCCTCCCATCTTTGTTCTTACATGTTTTTTCCATATTGTTGTTTTAATTTTGGTAGGGCTGCAGGAGGCAGCAGTGGGGTTCATGTCCATCTGCTGGGTTTGACAGGGTCTTAGCATACTTTTTGTCCTTTAGGAATCTGTTAGTGAGATAACAGCTGTACCAGGAACTGAGTAAGAAAAGAAAACACAGTGGCTCAGCCCAACCCATATTTGCATAAACAAATGAGGCATCTTAGTTGGAGAATAACTCTTATACTGTTTCCCTCTAATAATGTAAGGTTCTATATAGAAGTACTTGGTATTTTAGTTAAAATGTTTGCTTAGGTAACAGAGTGGACACTTACAATATGGTGATATGAACTGCATTTTTTTTGTATGTGTAATAAATATCTTCATGTCTTCTAAAATGTTTGAGAGGGGAGAAAGACATAATTTAATTTTGGGTCGAGCACAGTGGCTCAAGCCTGTAATCTCAGGACTTTGGGAGGCCAACCCAGGTGGATCATTTGAGCCCAGGAATTCAAGACCTGGGATACGTAATGAAACCCCTTCTCCACAAAAAATACAAAAATTAGCCGGGCATGGTGGCACAGAGATGAAAATTCAAAAAGAGGGCTAGATAATAAAATTGAGGAAATCTCAAAAGAAGAAAACTGGAAGAGAGAAGATAAAATTGTAGGACTATTAAGGAATATCTGGGCCTGTGCGCCCAGATGTTCGGGAGGCAAAGGTGGGAGGGTCACCTGAGCCTGGGGAGGTCGAGGCTGCAGTAAGCCCTGATTGCGCCACTGCATTCCAGCCTGGGTGACAGAGTAAGACCCTGTTTAAAATAAAACCAAAAAACCCTTTTGGTCTAGGATTTTTTTTTTTTTTTAATATAAAGTGATTTCAATTAACCACCCCACTCTTTTTTACTAATTGTTTTGTGTATTTAGTAAGTCACTAGCTATATACTGATATCCTTAGAAATAATATATAATAATCTGATTCAGGTTATCAAAAGTATCATTAGAACTAACTCAGCCCACTAGCTAATATTTTGTTTTCGTGTTAAAAGGAAAGTTAAGCGTTAAGCACCAGGCTTAATATTGAAATTATTTCTTTTTTCATGAGTATCACAATTCTAGGTGATGAAAGTTTTAAACTACAACCCACTTTTGTAAATCATTTTATCATCTTAACTAAATATTTTATTTGCATAAGAAAAAGCATTGTTTTGAAAAATAGTTTTCATATTGAATTATCCAAATACTTGGAATTTAAACTATTTCCCTAATGGATGATGATGGTATTGTGGCCAAAAAAAAAAAAAATCTCCCAAATTCAAGTTGTCTGGGATTGGAGAAATCAAATATAAGTGGACTTTAGGCATTTTCTTGTCTGTATTAATAATGTTTTACAACCAAACCCTAGAAGTTTGAACTGTGCTCTGTGCAGCCTAGAAAGTGGGGACTGACTCATGCATGGATGAAAACAAAACAGTCAAGGACTCTAGACAGTTTAAGAAGTGACGATGAAGAAGATTTAACAGGTAATGGTGCTTTTCTTCCTGAGCTTTAATGCCAGTGAGAGAAGCAACTAGTTCAGATAAATTTTGTAAGCAGAATCCAGGAAGACTTATGAGTCAGGATTCAGAACCTTTAAGGAAAGCAGGTTTGACCAAGGCACTGACTGAAAAGAGGCTTTAAGAAAGACCTTTCCTAAGTGGAAGGAAGGATGCACTGGAGATTTAGACTGGAAATGGTTTTAACAGTATTAGTGCAATGGCACTAATTAGGACAAGTAAGACAATATATCAGATTCCTATGTATGTATTAGTTATACCCAAAGAGTATTTCAGACTAGTCCAAAGTAGCTTTTTACTTTCAACAGTTGCCAATATTATATTGTCCAGGACACCACAGGGAAGGGGAACAGAAAAGACAAGGCAGGCCCTGGGTACACTGTATTAGAAAAGTAATCTTGATCCTCTGGTGGTAGAAGAAAATAGGCAACCAACTCTAAAGTAATGCAAAACAATCTCAACTAGAGCCTCTCGGAGTTTTGTTTTATCTCTGAATCAGGTGAAAATGTCAGTTCTTTACCTTGAGCTAGTCTAGTTAAGGTTAGGATTGAAAACCATCAATCTTGAAATTTTCCAGGATTAAATTTTTTCTTGGAACCCATGAGGCTAGTTTTACCTCTGTGAGTTTCTGAGTTGTGATAGAGATACAGTGTTATGCAGTGATATGCTAAATTTGTCATATTTGACTTGAAACTTCTGAACTACTCAGCCTTGAATTATTTGCCTTCTGTGAATGTGATCTTCAGGTTCATGGTATAAGGTTTATATCTGCCATGTAAGCTTCTTTAAAACATGCCAAGGTAGAGATATAGTTGTGTTCTATTTGTCTTTAAAAATAAATATCAATATATTTTCTATTTTAGGGCATTTGATGTAGAACTACTGTACATAGCACAGTGCTTTAAAATTCCAATAGCAGAAATTGCTGTCAACTGGACAGAAATTGAAGGTGAGTATATTGTTTATTGTATGACTGTCTTGAGTCAGACAAAGCGAGAGATATCAGACAATACAGTTGTCTAGTAAAGTCAGCTGGCTTTAATGTTTTCCTTGCTCCCCTCATCAAGCCCTTCTCAGCTGTCTTGACTCAAAGATCCGGGTCCAAGGAGTGTATTACCTATTAATACCTTCCGTCTGGCTTGCTGCCTTGTATATATTTTGTCTGTTCATGGGACCTTCAGTAGGCCTACTACCTTGTCTAAGAAACTTCAATAAAATTTCCTACAATAGACAAAGTCATAGTGATCTGAAGTTAGAAGGTTGATAGTCTTTTGAGATAGATAAATTTGTTTTTTGCATCACCATTTCCTGTATATTTTTCGATCACTAGGTGGATATTAATTAGGTACCTGCAAACCACTATGCAAAGCTAAATAAGAAATAAAAGTTTTTTTTACAGCCGGGCACCATGCCTCATTCCTGTAATCTCAGTTTGGGAGACCAAGGTGGGTGGATCACCTGAGGTCAGGAGTTCCAGACTAGCCTGGCCAACATAGTAAAGCCCTGTCTCTACCAAAAATTACAAAAAAATGGCCGGGCATGGTGGCAGGCGCCTGTAATCCCAGCTACTCAGGAGTCTGAGGCAGGAGAATTGCTTGAACCCGGGAAGCAAAGGTTGCAGTGAGCCAAGGTCGCACCATTGCACTCCCGCCTGGGCAACAACAGTGAAACTCCATCTGAAAAATTAAAAATAAATAAATAAAAGTGTTTTTACTCCAAATGTCCACAGTCAATTCAGAGCCATTTTAAAAGTATATCTGTACATATATCCAAAAATAAAAAGATCCCAACTCTATAATAACTTGAAATCTATCATAAATCTTAATAATTCCTATTTAAAAAGGCTTAGACAGCTCTGGCTGTATAGAATTTTAAACATATTCTAGTTTTCTCCTTACTTTAGAATGAACCTAAATTAACTCACAGTGTGGGAGCAGTTAACATAATCCACTGGAGACTTTTTCAAAGTCCACCTCTTCTGGTGAGAGTCCTTGTTGTAGTAAACCATTATTGCTCTGTAACCTCAGATGTTTAGGGACAGAAAAAGATTAAGAACCAGTCTCGAGAGTATACAAACTCTATGGTCTAGAATGAATTCAAACCTCTTTATGTCTTGCTGAATCAAACAGAGTTTACAAAATCTTAGCTCATCACCACAGTTGCTGCCTAGAATCAAAGGGGATTGGGAAGCAGATAAAAGGATCACTCAGGGGTATCATGATCAACTCTGTTGATCTGTGTTGATCTTTGGCCAACATAGACTCTATGGGAAGATGAGGTGGGGAAAAGTAAAAGTCCATTTTATATTTAGTCATTTGCTTATTTGCATTACAGAGATAGTTGTATTGTAATATGAATTGTAGGTACCTCAACTTCCTCGTTTGTGGGATGAAGATAGTATTTGGCCCTGATAAACAATATCTCTACAGTGCTTTGGTGGTAATGTTTTCAGAAGAAAGCTGTTATATAAATTCAGAGCAGTGAAAAAGGTCTTCTTTAAATATAAAGTATAATTAAAATGATAATGAAATGTTAAACCTTCCTCCTGATACTTCTTTATCTGCAAGTATATACTATAAGTAATGGTTATAAGAATCTGCTGTGGCCGGGCACGGTCACTCATGCCTGTAATCCCAGCACTTTGGGAGCCCAAGGTGGGAGGATCACTTGAACCTAGGAGTTTGAGACCAGCCTGAGCAACATAGTGAGACCTCATCTCTATAAAAAAAAAAAATTGTAAAATTAGGCAGGTGTGGTGCGTGCCTCGGTACTCCCAGCTACTGGGGAGGCTGATGTAGGATGACTGGATTGTTTGAACCCAGAAGGTCAAGGTTACAAGGTTACAGTGAGCCATAATCGTGTCACTGCACGATTGCCTGGGTGACAGAGAAAGATCTTGTCTCAAATAGACAAAGAATCTGCTGTGATACGCATGGATCAGATATTTAATTAGGCTGGTGTTCTTGTGTAGCCTGAGACAAAGAGGTCTGGACAAAATTATCTTAAGTCTGATCATAGGCTTTATTTTTTATCATTAAGATTGGATTTATGTAGAAATAATCATATTTATCTGTTATGCTGTATCTTTACTTGTTTCATATGTAATTATTTTCAGTAATGAGCACTCAGTGAGTAGTTTTTTATTAGACTTTTCTAGAGCCCTCACCATAGGCAGTCCCTCCTTTCTATAGTAGAGCCGTATGAAATTTTCACTGTTTGGATCCTTTCAAGTTTTATTTCACTTCAAGATTTTCTGTTATTGTTCTTAGAGAAAACCACTCCACTCACTTCAGCTTTGAAATTGTTTAACTTTTTGGTCTATGATTTTAAAAAAATTAAGGTGCTAAAGGCTCACAACATGTAGACTTTAAACTATATGTTTTCTGCTGAGTTTATTTCAGCTAATTTGTTTTTAATTATTTTTAAATTGCAGGTTCTAAATTAGTTCCATTTTGGAGCTGGCTACAAATGGGCAAAGACCTACTTTTTATACGACTTCGATATATGACTGGTGCCTGGAGGCTTGAGCAAACTCGGAAAATGAATTAGGTTGTTTGCAGTCTTCAGTTGTGTTCATATGCGTCAGTGTCACATTTCATTTCATTTGAAACTAAAATTTTAAGTAAAGCTGGAATCAACTTCCTGTCATTGTCTGCCTTTTGATAATTTTAAAGAAGTAACTTCCCGTAAGTAAAAAATTGTATATCTCTTTGGATATAAATGGTTTTTAAAAGATGTTTATTTAAAAAGTCAGATTTTCTTTTGCTTATTTAGCTTTATTATCATTATAATTCTGAGAAACATAATTTTTGTAGACAGAAGTGATTCTTACCCTAAAGTACCTGCATAACTCTTTTTTTTTTTTTTTTTTTTTTTTGAGACGGAGTCTTGCTCTGTCGCCCAGGCTGGAGTGCAGTGGCCGGATCTCAGCTCACTGCAAGCACCCTAAAGTATCTGCATAACTCTTTTTTTTTTTTTTTTTTTTTTTTTTGAGATGGAGTCTTGCTCTGTCGCCCAGGCTGGAGTGCAGTGGCCAGATCTCAGCTCACTGCAAGCTCCGCCTCCCGGGTTCACGCCATTCTCCTGCCTCAGCCTCCCGAGTAGCTGGGACTACAGGCACCCACCACCTCGCTGGGCTAGTTTTTTGTATTTTTTTAGTAGAGATGGGGTTTCACCGTGTTAGCCAGGATGGTCTCAATCTCCTGACCTCGTGATCTGCCCGTCTCGGCCTCCCAAAGTGCTGGGATTACAGGCTTGAGCCACCGTGCCCAGCCCATAACTCTCATGAACTTAAATAGAAACTACAATCATGTAACAGTTTTCAGAGATTTAAAAACAAAGCTAGGGTATAAGTTTAAATGTATATAAATTTATCCAAATCAAAGAAACCTATATTTCAGCCTATGAAACTTTAGGAAATTATACATTAAAGGCAAGAATACAGACTTAGTCACAAAGGTGTCCATTTCCTTATAGTCTTATTCATCTCTAGCACTGGAGGCCATGGTGGGAGGATCACTTGAGCCCAGAAGTTCAAGGTTACAGTGAGCTATGATCGTGCCATTGCACTCCAGCTTGGGTGATGGAGTTCCTGTCAATCAATTTTTTAACATTAATATATTTACATAGTAACATCAGAAGTTTCTGTCTTTGAGATACTACAAGAACTAATAGCAATTATAAAATAATGAACCCCAAAATCAGATTGTTTCTGCCAACTTAGAGAACAAACTAGTAATAGTTTAACATTTAGTAAGTGTTTACTGTATGCCAACCACTGTTCTAAGCACTTGGTATATAATGACTCACCTAACCTTTACAACAGAAGAGGAAACTGAAGTACAAAAGGGTTACCTGCCCAAGGTCACCCAGTTAGGAAAGAGTGGACTCATGATTGTAACCTGCATAGTCTGGATCCCAAGCCCACACTCTCTAATGACTCTGCTATAGCCTTCAGTTTCTGAAGGTATGAAAACTGGGGACCATGTAAGTAGAAAGTTTCAGCAGTGCATTGAATAAAACATTTTTGAGTGGAAATGTAAGCTAAAAATGACTCCTCTCCAGTAGTTTGAACAACAGCGATAATATCACATCTGCAGTAGACAATTAGCTTTTTGAAAATAGAAGGCTTACCAGGCGCAGTGGCTCACGCCTGTAATCCCAGCACTTTGGGAGGCCGAGGCAGGCGGATCACCTGAGGTCGGGAGTTCAAGACCAGCCTGACCAACATGAAGAAACCCCGTCTCTCCTAAAAATACAAAATTAGCTGGGTGGTGGCGCATGCCTGTAATCCCAGCTACTCGGGAGGCTGAGGCAGGAGAATTGCTTGAACCCAGGAGGTGGAGGTTGTGGTGAGCTGAGATAGAGCCATTTCACTGCAGCCTGGGCAACAAGAGTGAAACTCCGTCTCAAAAAGAAAGAAAATAGAAGGCACATCTTACTACAATTAGTATCTCCAGTACAGTGCTTAGTATATAGTAAACACTTAATAATGATGAGATGAATAAACATTATTTACTACCAGATTTTGTGAGCATTAAAGGCACTTAAATGGATAAATCAAGAATAATAGAGAAGACCATGCTCATAAGAATTTTTAAGAATAAGCCTTGCGCCAAAAATAAGATCCTTAATGAAATTATAAAAAGGCAATGAAATAATTTGTTATTGCTCTTTATAAATGAGTAGAAATGCATATTTGAAGCATAATAGGAATACTGAAGGTAAGTCATGATACTTTTTATGTATTTTGTATGTGAACACTATAGGGAAAAGTCTGATACCATTGATGCCAACTTGCCTTTCTAAGCACAGATTTACCTAAGAGAGGAGTATGGGACAGAATCTGAGGCAATCAGAGAGAAAAGGTAGTTTAACCTGTTAACTTACAGAATCTGCTAGCAAAAACTACATGCAGCAATAGCAAAGTGAAATAGCAAAATAACAGCTACTATCTTTTTTTTTTTTTTTTTTTTTTTTTGTTGAGATGAAGTCTTGCTCTTGCCCCCAGACTGGAGTGCAATGGCGCGATCTTGGCTCACTGCAACCTCTGCCTCCCAGGTTCAAGCGATTCTCCTGCCTCAGCCTCCCGAGTAGCTGGGATTACAGGTGCCTGCCATCACACCGGCTAATTTTTTGTATTTTTAGTAGAGATGGGGTTTCACCATGTTGGTCAGGCTAGTCTCGAACTCCTGACCTCAGGTGACCTACCCGCCTCGGCCTCCCAAAGTGTTGGGATTACAAGCATGAGCCACCACACCCGGCCACCAGCTGCTACCCTTATAGTATGTACAAGGAAGAGTAATGAACATTTTGCATGCATTATGTAGTTTAATCTCATCAAACAACTTATCATGCAGGTATAATTACCCGCATTTCACGGAACAAAGTAGCCAAGTCATTTGCCCAGGATTACACAAGTAGCCATTATTCATGCTTCTACTGAAATAAAAAACAGGAAACAAAAGAACATGGGGCATGATTAAAACAGTATAACCTGAGGACAGTCAGACAACTTAGCCATTTCTATGTCAAGTCTTCTGACTTGTTCTGATAGAATATATAGATACATATGAAACTTGACTTGAGGGTCACATCTGGACAATAATGTCTCTGGACATCTGTAATCCTCTATCCCCATATAGTTATGTACTGTTGACCCTTGAATAACAGGTTTGAACTGCACAGATCCACTTATACATGGATTGTTTTCAAAAGTATATTGAAAAAGTTTTGGGGGATCTGTGAAAATCTGAAATAGCAACAGGAGGTTGCTATAAAATTACAGTAGTAAATGATAGACTAATATCTACATGTATTTTATGCATTAATGACATAACCTTTTTCTTAATATCTTTCATAATATCAAAGACTTCGATATTAGTCTATCATTTACTATATAACATACACACGAATCTATTCGGATTTATCAAAACTTACGCACACAAACATAGACCATACAGAGACTATTCAGTCGAGATAAATATAAACAAAGATGCAGTATTAGGCTGCTCGCAGTGGCTAACACCTATAATCCCATCAGTTTGGGACGCCAAGGTGGACGGATCACCTGAGGTCAGGAGTTCAAGACCAGCCTGGCCAACATGGTGAAACCCTGTCTCTACTAAAAATACAAAAATTAGCCGGGCGTGGTGGCAGGTGCCTGTAATCCCAGCTACTTGGGAGGCTGAGGCAGGAAAATCACTTGAACTCGGGAGGTGGAGGTTGCAGTGAGCCAAGATCGCACCACTGCACTCCAGCCTGGGTGACATGAGTGAGACTCCATCTCAAAAAAAAAAAAAAAGATACAGTATTAAATCATAACTGCATAAAATTAATTTTGTAGCTACCTCCTGTTGCTATTGCAGTGAGCTCAGGTGTTGTGAGTATCCACTTAAATGCTGTGTGACACTAACCATCCCCACATGAGCAGTTCTTCTCTCCAGTAAATTGCATATAACAGTAGAAATTGAGCTCTTGCAGTTCTCATGTATTTTTCATGTTTAGTGCAATACTGTAAACCTAAATAACACCATGGTACCAATATGAAGTACCATTAGTGATGCCGGAAATACTCCCAAAGAAGCGGAGAAAAGTCATGACATTAAAAAAGTTGCATTGCTCGATATGCTTGATATGTACCATAGATGAGGGCTGCAGCTGAGATTGCCCACCATTTCAAGATAAATTAATCCAAGCCAGTCACGGTGGCTCACACCTGTAATCCCAGCACTTTGGGAGGCCGAGGCAGGCGGATCACCTGAGGTCAGTTCAAGACCAGCCTGGCCATCATGGTGAAACCCCGTCTGTACTAAAAATTTGCCGGGTGTGGTGGCGGGCACCTGTAATCCCAGCTACTTGGGAGACTGAGGCACAAGAATCACTTGAACCTGAGAGACAGAGGTTGCAGCAAACCAAAATTGCACCACACTGCGCTCCAACCTAGGCGATAGAGTGATTGTCTCAAAAAATAAATAAATCCAGTGTAAGGACTATTGGGGAAAAAAAAAAAAAAATTTGTGAATCCATTGCCACAGCTACATCTGCAGGTGCAAAAATCTTGCAATTTTTGCAAAATACCTCTCTCATATTGAAAATGCAGCTTTTAAGTGGATACAGGATTGCTATAAGAAAGGCACACCTATAGACTCTAATATGATTTGCAAAAAGGCAAAGTCATCACATGACAAGTTAAAGGAAGGTGAAGGATCTAAAGCTGGGGAGTTTAATGCCAGAAATGAATGGTTCATTTTAGAAGAGGTTTGGCTTTAAAAAAAAAAAAAGTCAAGATAAGGGAGAAGCAGCTTCTGCTGATCCTGGAGGCAACAGACAAGTTCGCAAACACCATTAAGAAAATCATTGAGGAGAAAGGATATCTGCCTAAACGGGTTTTTAATGCAGACGAAAGCGCCCTAATCTAGGGGGTGTGGGGGTGGAATGCCACAAAGGACATTTATAAGGAAGAAAGAGAAGCAAGCACCAGGATTTAAGGCAGGAAGAAACAGGCTAACTGCTGTTTTGTGCAAATGCAGTCAGGTTTACGATCAGGACTGCCCTTATCTATAAAGCTGCTAAATCCTGAACGGAAATGATAAACATCAGCTGCCAGTCTTCTGGTTGTACAAGAAGGCCTGGACAATGATAACCCTTTTTCTGGATGGGCGCCATTGATGTTCTGTCCCTGAAGTCAAAAAGTACCTTGCCGGTAAGAAGTTGCCTCTT